TGCAGAACAGCGCGAGTCTGCGGAAAAGGCATGCGTAGCGAAGCGTAGGCCACAAGGCACAGCGGCAAATGCGTCGCCTCAAGCAGCAGCAACTGCGGATCTTCCTCTGCCACGCGAAGGCGCGACCATGGCATATTTTGCCGAAGACTCAACTTTGGTTGTGTTTGGTGGCTGGTGAGATTGTTTGCACACGCAGGGGCTTCTTCCGTACGATGCATTTCTTGGTTGGTACTAACCCATAAGATAGATCATTGAATAACTTCTTGACCGAATTTCGTTCAGGAGTGGCAAATGGCTTGGCGATCTTTGGACATGCTGCGTCTCCTCCGTCGTGGGGCCTCCATACGCTATCCTTGACGTTTCACCACCTCATGGTCCAATGACGGGAGGTACACCAATTAGTGTTAGGGGTGCTGGATTTACAGCTGGTTCAATCTGCGTCCGCTTTTCTGCTGGCGAATTCTTCGTGGACGTCCCGGGCACATTCATATCGTCAACGGAAATTCGTGCTGTGACTCCTAATGTTAAGGCCGCCTTGGGTGGGTCAAAACACCACTTCAGTCAGCTCCCTCATTTAAGCCTGAAAAAACGAACTTTCGGCAAAAGTGCGCACAGTAATCAACCCTGCATTTCTAGGCAAGCTGCAGACTGTCTAGTTTCCGTCTTTATCACAGGGATTGGCAGAGCGTAGTCCTTAGTTGACATCGGTCACAGAGCACACATAACTCATTCGAGAGGACTTCATGCACGCCATTTGGTTCTCGTGTGTGGCTCTTGATTTGTTGTTCTACAGGCCCACGAACGTGCGAAATTCGCGTCAAGATTGGAGCCAAGGATTTGACTTCTTCTCTCTGTTCATTTCAGTTCTTCGCAAATTCGTGCGCATCATACTGCCTCGCCGTGGGGCCCGGGTTGCTTTCTGATGGAGCTCCTGGTGTGCCTACGTCATTTTTCATTGAATCAAGGAATGCGCAAAATGGGAAAAGGACCACCGGAGGTGATAAGTTTGTTGTAAGGGCATTTGTACTCCCTGAGGTAAGCCGGACTACCTCTCCAATTCTGTTTGCCAGAAACGACTGCCATCATGAACAGAAAGAGTGGTCGACAAGTTGTGCCACTGCCTTCAAATTCTTGACGGCATAATTCTTGAATGCGCTCATTTCCAGCAACAAGAGCCGCCGCCGGAGGATTCTGATGAAGAAGACGTTGAAGAGAAGCCAACGGAAGATCCAGTTCTTCTACCCGTAACCATTAAAGATTTTGAAAATGGAACATACTTGGTCACCTACACTGCGCCTGCACCTGGGAGAGTGTCAGTAGGGGTCCTACTCGATGCACAAGACGGGAATCCACCACAGGAAATACGGGGATCGCCTTATGTTGCCACATTTGTCGAGAAGCCTCGGCCAAGAGCAAATGAATTCGCTGGGCCTACAGTTACCACGTTTATTGCAAACACAATGAACACACTGGAAAAGTTTTGTCTTCGGACGGAATCGGGACTTCAGGTATGCTAATGAGGTGGCTTTGGTCAAAATCAAGCCAGACGTATCCCCATCAGAGGCTTTTACCAAAATTGTTTCTTCACTGTGTTTTTCAAGGGTTGCTTGCTGCAGTCAACGGCAGTACACATAATCCAATATTCAAGGTGTGCGAGTGAGACCATTTAGGCAACTGTTAAAGCGGATGATCGTCGAAGTCTTCTAGATGTCCGGCAGCACATCAAAAACGTGGGATTGTTGAAAGCTGAACATGAACTGGATTTCGAAGTCTTAAGGGTTGCCCTGCAGAAGCTGCAGGAATTAGGCGCGAACGTTGATTCGAGCAATAGAGCACTTAAAAAGATATGTGAAAAGAGAGCTGCCCTCGAGTCCGTCCAAAATTTGCCTGTAGATTGTATTTTCCTCTTTATCTTTTTAATGAGGCATTTGAAACCGTACAATTCGTAAGCTGTTATCGAGTTTGACTTGCTCCAGTTGAGGTTGTCTTTTCTGTGCTCAGGGCTGCTGCGGAGAAACGCGAGAGGGAAATGGCGAACGTGTTCGAAGAAGAAGCGGCAAAGACTAAAAAGGCCATAGAAGAGCTGGACTCTTCTGTGTGCGCCCTTCGTCAGACTCTAACAGGGGAGTGCTTCTACTCCTTCGCGACCTCCCCAGCAGAAGCCAGAACAAAGATTACGGACATTTCGGAGCAAACCAACGAATTAGTTCGAACGCTGGAGGTGTGGCTACGTACATAGTAAATACGTATCAAAACAACCATGTGTCGGTGCTGTTTGCATTGACTTGAGGCAATCTCGGAACACGCACGAGCAGCGCAGCGAGGCTAAGACCAGCCCTTAGAGGGCGTACTTTCTGCAGAGATTTTAAGCTCTTCCACTAAAGGCCTGAAAGAGATGATCCCGCCGTGTGGAGACGTTTCAGGCTCTACAAGTACCTGCGTCATCGTTTGATTTTCCTGAGCTACTTAAGGGAACGCGACAGACTCTCTCATCAGTCGAAGAGGAACTGCGCAACGTGGCCAAATTCTGGAACGTTGCGGAATCGATGATACTTCAAGTTGAGGGGTACAGAGGACTCCTCTGGGAGAAGGTCGATGGTGTCGAAATTGAAATTTCTGTCAAGGCAATGCAAAAGAGTCTGCAAAGAGACGTCAAGGTCAGATCTGCTCACCATTACGGTTTGATGCTAGGCAAAGTGCTTAGGCTCCACCTTGTCAAGCGAGTATGCACATCGTACAGCCACGAAATGATTTTGCAACGGCTCGAACTTATTCTAGAGAGCTTGGGTGTTTCTGTAGATGGACAAGAAAAGCGATGCGTACCAGGGATTGGCTGCGACGCTTAGGACCTGGATACAGCTTGCTCCACTAATAACGGAGCTCCGTGGACCTTACATGCGCGAACGTCATTGGAATGAGCTCATTAGCCTAGCACATGCTTCTCTTGAGATCTCCGCAGAGACTAAACTGAGTGAAATCGAAAGCTTGGATCTCTTGGCGCTGCAAGCAACTGTCGAAGAAATCACTGATAAGGCATGCGCAAGGCTTTCGTTGACAGCTTTTCTGTGGACGGCGTCCCACCCACCACCGTGGCAGTGATCCTATGCACTTGGATTATATTTGTTCTGCGCATTTAATGTATAAGATGAACTGAGCTCAGGCGTTGTGTAAAACGGGTATCAGGCATACAGGCCTCAATGCATACTGCGTCATGTTTCAGGCAAAGCAAGAGGAAGCAATCGAAAAAAACTTGATTCTCCTTACAAAGACATGGGATTCAGCTGTGTTCGTGCTGACACCTGCGAGGCAGCCTGATGTCAACGTGCTGTCCCTATCAGAGGAGTGCAGCGAGCTGCTGGAAGAGCAGCAAATGATTGTTCAGAATATGATGTCTTCCAAGTAAGGTGCTGACGACCATTCCCCTATGGTAATGGTAGTGAACATCTTATACTCCCTTTAGTTTGCATCTCCTAGCGCCAGGACGAAGGGTGTTTGGTGCCATAGAGGACTCGAAGAAGTTAATTGTGTGCCGTACGGAGGCAGCATACAGTTAGTTGCACAAGCAGATTTCACGTGCTCTGCCTGCTGCGTTTGCATTGATATATTGGGAAAGGCCGTTGAACTCGGTAACACATGGTTTAGACTGATCTCAGGATATGCCTATGCGGAATCCAGGTTTTTCGCAACGTTTGAAGCCGAGATAACGAAATGGCAGAAATCCTTGGCAACGATAGGAGAAATAACTCAAATCCTGCGAGAAGTAGAGAGATCCTGGACTTTCCTGGAAAATCTCTTCCTTTGCTCGGAAGAAGTCAAGCGAGAGCTTCCAGCGGAAGCAGAGCGCTTTGTGGCTATAGACGCCAAGATGAAAGAACTTTTACGGCAAGGGGAAACCTACTCGAAAATCAAAGACTTTTGCGTCATGCCTGAGATTTCGACTCAGCTTGACGAGCTACAGAAACAGCTCTCTATGTGCGAAAAGGCGCTCAACGAATTCATGGATTCGAAGAGGAAAACGTTTCCTCGTTTCTTTTTTGTATCATCAGTTGACCTTTTGGACATCCTCTCTCATGGCAATGACCCTCCCGCTGTCATGGTGCACATGCCAAAAATTTTCCAAGCCATACAGCAATTCGACTGTAGGGATGCCCAGCCAACAGATAAAGACAAAAGCAGACCAGTGGCTACAGGAATTACTTCCTGTGTGGGCATCGAGCAGCTGGCTCTTCCTGAGGAAATGACGTTCGTAGGCAAGGTTAGCCAAAACTGCTTTTTTCTTTTTATCTCGAGAGTTGCTGAGCTCCATGAGTTTAAGTGCACCTACTCACTGGAAAAAAAAATATTACTTAAGTTATGATTTCACAGGTTGAGTCTTACCTCGAAGACTGCATAGCAATGATGCGCAAGACGGTCCGATATTACCTGAAAAAGTCATTTGCTGGTCGCTCGGCAGCACCAACAAAGAACGATTGGATAAAAGCTGATCCAGCTGCTCAGGCAACACTACTAGTGAACATGGCTTCTTGGGTTATGAATGTTGAAAACGCGTTTGCACAAATGCAGGAGGTGAGCCAGCAGTGACGACTCAAAGGCTCTCATCTCCGAGGTGCTAGTGGGTGCCTAATGCGCAGACTCCCCCAAATTTTGTGCCTGTGCTTGACTTATTGATATAGAATCCTGCGGCTATGCAACAGTGCATGAAAAAGCACGTGGAAGAGCTGACGTCAGCAATTAGGCTTGTCCAAGGTCCGCTCACTCCAGAACTTCGACAAAAGATTATGTGTATCATAACTATTGACACGCACGGCCGGGATATAGTTCAAAGGCTCCTGGATGAGCACGCTACCTCCGTTGACTGCTTTCAGTGGCAGTCGCAGCTGAAGTACTTCTGGGACGTGAAAACGGTTAGTCAACGCAACTAAATGAGCTTCGTGCATCCCCCGCAATGCACGCTTGTGCGTACATTCGTCACGCCTACTCTCTCAAAATATCCTGTTCACATGCAAAGTGTCGCAACTTTCGTTGCTGCGACGAGATGCTTAATATTTGCGCAGGAAGAGGCCACCATAAGAATTACAGATGCATCATTTTGCTACGGTTATGAATATCTCGGCAATGGGCCTCGTCTCGTAGTCACCCCTCTGACTGACAGGATCTACGTGACTGCAACCCAGGCACTGCACCTCTGCATGGGATGCGCGCCAGCTGGTCCAGCAGGAACCGGGAAAACAGAAACAACCAAAGACCTTGCTTCTGCTCTTGGCAAGGCATGCTATGTCTTTAATTGCTCTGACCAAATGGATTACCAATCCATGGCGAACATTTTCAAGGTCAGCTGATTTATGGTACAGGCAGGAACCGTCCGTATGAGAAACCAGGACAAAAGCTCGCCAGCTAATCTCGGGAGAGAGTATTTGCAAAGATGAAGAAACTGCCAAGTCTTGCTGCCGGCATTTGGCTGCAGTGTGTAGTAGAGTGGCATTATCTCATGTGTTTCGCCGTTTTTATGTGGTTGTCAGGGTCTGGCGGCTTCTGGTTCCTGGGGATGTTTTGACGAATTTAACCGTCTTGTGCCCGCTGTACTCAGTGTGTGCTCCGTCCAGTTTAAGTCAGTTGTCGATGCTATCAAAGCGCATGCGAAGACGTTTTTTATCCAAGGAGATGAAACAGCCCTCGATCGCACATGCGGAGTGTTTATTACTGTGAGCGAGCGAAAAAGCTTGCCTCCAAAACTATCCAACCAACGTTAAAATCTTCTGAATACAGCGTAAAGCTACAGGCCACGTGTTCCATATGTCAGAAACATAGTGGGCTTGAACTTGGGTTGGTGTGGCCCCCGCAGATGAACCCTGGATATTTAGGTCGCTCTGAGCTCCCTGAGGGGCTGAAGTCATTGTTTAGGCCCATAACAGTCATTGTCCCGGACTTGGAGCTAATATGTGAAAACATGCTAATGGCTGAAGGCTTTGTTGAAGCAAAGGAGCTCGCGAGGAAGTTTACCCGACTCTACGCCTTGTGCAAGGATTTGCTATCGAGAGCTCCGCACTATGATTGGGGGCTGCGAGCGATCAAGTCTGTATTGGTTGTGGCTGGTACTTTCAAGAGACAGTGGCCTGACCTATCTGAGCAGGCAATTCTCATGAAGGCGCTGAGGGACTCTAACCTGGCTAAAATTGTTGCTGATGACGCAACAGTCTTCCAAGGTATACTGTAAAGCATTGTACACACGCACACTGAAGCACATACCAGGCCGAGACTTTGTTAAATAATAGAGCAAAGTGCGATGTCGCTCCTATCTGCACTTGGTTCAGGACTTTTGGGCGACCTATTTCCTGGAGTTGAGCCACCACCGCAGACTGATGCTGTTTTCTCTGAGACTGTAGTCAAGGTGTGCAGTGACATGGGCTTGACAGTCAACAAAGTTCTCTCGTTAAAAGCTTTACAAATGCGAGACCTGCTTGCCATTAGAATGTGCATCTTCGTCATGGGGAGGCCAGCGTCTGGGAAAAGCACAGTGTGGAAAGTGCTTGCAAAGGCTCAAGATGCTCTCGGAAGCAAAACCACCGTAGTCGACATCAACCCGAAATCAGTAAACACAGATGAGCTTTACGGGTAAGGCGAGTACCCCGCATTCACACTGTGTGAACAAATCCACCAGAGTGGAGGCAAAACTCACCCTTTTCATCAGCTTTTGTCTGAAGCTCTTTCCAGCGAGAATGTGGGATGCACAAAAAGTTACTGTCAACCTAACAGCCTCGCATGCCACATCCTTCATTTTCATGCCTCTTTGATTGTGAGGTTTGCTGCACATGAGCAAACAAGCTGCTTTCGGGATCCAAGATGCCTGCCTACAGAATACACTTAGTACAGCCTCGCGTCGGTTCGTATCGTTATCCACAGGTTTGTTAAAATGTCAACGAGAGAATGGCAAGACGGCATCCTGTCAAAAACAATGCGATCGTTGGGACAAATACCGGACACGTTGCCTAAATGGATTGTGCTGGATGGTGATCTAGATGCGAACTGGATCGAGTCTATGAACTCTGTGATGGACGACAACCGTATTCTGACACTTGCTTCTAATGAGCGCATTCCTCTGAAACCTCATATGCGCATGATCTTCGAAATACGAGACCTGCAATTTGCGTCGCCAGCCACTGTTTCCAGAGCAGGAATAATCTTCGTTAGCGATTCGACAGGTAGGCAGCAGCTGCTGCTCACTGCTATCGTCTGTGCCAGCAAGGGACGGCAAGATTCTAGAAAAGTCAGGCTTCAGCTTCACTGCACACTGTTGCGCCCTAAGTATGCATGCAGGGGAGCAGTGGAGGAGCTACGCGAGAAGCTGGCTTCAGCGTCAATGCTGGTCTGATGCAATAAAAGCAGATGTCGGGAAGCTGTTTGAAAAGTACTGCCCCTCGACGCTTGAATTTGTTGAAAGACAATGCAAGCTCAGTGTCCAGGTGTACAGCCTGCAAATTGTAGCTGCCCTGTGCAATATGGTGAGTGCTTAGAATTTGTGAGTAGCATTAAAGCAAATGCAAAGAACAAATTTAGGGGGAAGTCCGACATGGTAGACCAATGTATCTATATTGAATACATGCTTGTAAGCATCATTACGACTCCGGCTTCTCTCAGCTCGAAGGACTCTACCAGGAGGATCCCCAGGCACCTGAGTTTGCCTTTGTATTTTGCCTCGTTTGGGCAGCAGGGGGCAGTCTGCAGGAAAAAGATGGGATCGACTATCGCAGACAGTTTAACAACTGGTGGCGGTCGGAGTGGAAAGTGATTAAATTCCCCAGCAAAGGATCTATTTTTGAATACTTTGTCGATACTGTAAGTTATTCACTCGCAGTGCTTGGCAGAGAACTGAAACTCTTGCCGGCTCCTGGATATTCCGGAAAGTGTATACTAAAGAGCTTTGCTTTCCGGTTGCAGTGCTGCTTTGGAGGCCATTCGTGAAGTTTCCTGCCTTCCTTGATGTTTTGAATCTTGCAATTAGGACTAGTAACTTTGCATCTAGAAGCATCCCGCCTTAAATGCGCATTTCACGGGCCCAATGCAGAGTACTGTGAATGAAAACACAGGGCCTAATGAAACCATGTGTTTCTTCAGGCAAAATTCGAGAGCTGGGAGTCAAAAGTACCCACTTTACAGCTCAAGGGAACAGAAGGCATTGACAGCATTTCGGTGCCAACAGCTGAAACCGTGTCTATGCTGCACTTCTGCAAAACTATATTGAAGATTCATGCACCAGTTATGTGCATTGGTTCTGCTGGTTGCGGAAAAACCCAGCTGTGCAGAGCAGCTTTGTCATCCCTGGATGCAGATGCCTTTTCATCTTTTACGGTCAATTTCAACTTTTACACAGATTCCGCGCTGCTGCAGACACTTCTCGAACAGCCTCTTGAGAAGAAAGCGGGCAGGCAGTTTGGTCCACCGGGAAAGTGAGCTTAGAACAGTTTTGCTCTGCGCCTGAGACCTGCTGATTGTGCAGCTCAGCAACCCAAAATGTAGCTGAGATTTTTTGCATGTTCAAAGCATGTGCATTCGTTCCAGGTTACACTTAGTATACTTTCTCGACGACTTGAACATGCCTCAACTTGACCCCTATAACACACAGAGCGCTATCGCGCTGCTAAGACAACACTTGGACTACCAGCACTGGCTTGACAGGAACAAAATGCAAATGAAGGACATCGGCAATACGCAGGTTCTGGCTGCTATGAATCCTACAGCGGGGTCATTTGTGGTGAATCCACGACTAAGCCGGCATTTCTGGGTGCTAAACGTCCCCATGCCTGAATTGACATCCTTGTTTACAATTTACGCCTCAATTATGAATGGATTCTTTGATGTGCGAAACTTCCGAAAGGCTGTGAAAGAGCAAGTCATGCCAGTAATCAAAGCAACCATGAGCATCCACACGGAGGTGAGAAGAGTACTCAGCTTCCTTGCAGATTCAGTAGCGGGGCATTCAACCAGATCCAATGAATGTGTTAGCTGCTAACTATCCGCCGACGCAGTAGACGGCTTTTGTGAGCATACACATATATGCAGTTGTTTGTCACCCACTGCTCAGGTAGTTCAAGCTTTCCGGAAGACAGCCGTCAATTTTCACTACGAATTTAACATGCGCCACCTAACGAGTGTGTTCCAAGGGATCCTGTCAACGTCTCCTCAGACCATGCAGGTGCTTCGCATGCTGACGGAAAACTCCATTGTGGCACACATTCTGGACTGCTTGGCTTTGGAACTATGACTGGGTGGTATTTTTATACCTCAGGTGCTCAATGTGTTCCTTCGCTTCTACGGTCTCAGTGGAAGCATTCAATAAAGATCTGGTTCTTGATGTTCGGTGCACTTACACATCTAGTTACGGGAAGAAGCGAACTGTGAGCACACATTGCGGACTGCTTCTCTCTGGCAGGATCCAGAAAAGCTGGTGCTATTATGGCTTCATGAATGTGAGCGAACGTTTTGTGACCGTCTGGTCACGCCAGAAGACTGCAAAAAGTACAAAGCCATTGCAGCTGACTGCGCAAAAAGAAACTTTGGAAGGTTCAATTTGGGGAAAGTTGTACAAGCAAAAAACCCGGAGCCGCTAATATTCACTCACTTCGGAAAAGAAGGGGCAGGAGGTCAATTGGACGCAGCGTTGCGACGCCACTGTAGCTCCTGAATGATATCAGTTTTGCTACAAATTCCTTCTAAATTCCAGTGACATTCAAAGAAGTAGACATGCTGTCTCCTTTTGTGGTAACGTATGCAATTTTCTTTGTTTGGAGCTTTGCGTTGCAGCATATGATCGGATTGGGACAATGGACGAACTTGCGGCAATCCTTCGTGGGGCCCTAAATGACTACAATGAGATAAATCCGGCAATGGATCTGGTGCTGTTCGACGACGCAATGCATCACGTTTGCAGCATCTGCAGAGTAATTAACAATAGGGCAGGCCATGCTCTTTTGGTTGGAGTAGGTGGATCTGGCAAACAGTCATTAACGAGGCTGTCGTCTTTTATAAGCGGGTTTTTCACTCAGCAGCTTTCCATATCGTCGACATATGACATCCGGGACCTAAAAAATGATATTAGGGTACGCTGCCAACAGAGCGTCTGTAACCGACGTGCATGCCCACAACCCAGATATTGCTTCTCTCGCACGAGTGCTGCGTATGTGCATGAGCTACGCAACATCCTTTAGGCACTCCACCTTATTAGCATCTGCTAGTTTGCAAGGTCAACTCATTGTGGGACCGACGTGCCCTTCAAAGCGCATCTGTGGACAAGGGTAGGACACTTGTGGTTTGGCTCTCTTTTCTCTGTAGAGTATGTATTCCCGAGCAGCGCTTAAAGACGAAGGAGTTGTATTTATGCTAAGCGACGCTCAAATCGCAAGCGAAAGGTTCTTGGTGTATGTAAATGACATACTTGCATCCGGAGACATTGCTGACTTGTATGAGGGAGATGACAAGGACCAGCTGATGAATGCCATCCGACCACTAGCGAAAGCTGCCGGAGCTTCGGACACCCGGGAAGGCTGCTGGAACTTCTTTATTGACAAAATCAGACGTAATCTGCATGCTGTACTGTGCTTGTCACCAGTCGGTGATGGCCTGAGGTGAGTGTAACAGAACGATTTTTTTTGCTTCGTAGTCGACAGTTTAGGTAGACAAAGCAGTGACCGTTTCACAGAAAACTCCACGGTGACATGCAACTTGCTCGCATGTGTGTTGTATCTAAAATCCTATCTACGAATGTTGAACTGAGTGTGACTTAGGACTCGAGCTCGCAAGTTCCCCGCTCTCGTCAACTGCACAGTAATCGACTGGTTCCAGCCTTGGCCCTACGAGGCCTTACATTCAGTGGCTAGCAAATTCTGCGCTGAGATGCCACTTGGAGATGAAGAGTCAATCAGCAAGGCAATTGTGGACTTTCTACCGTACATGTTTTACGCCGTTAACGATGCAACAAGAGCATACTTGGAAGTGGAGCGCAGGTAACAAGCGAAACACGCAAGTGTGCACTTAACAGCTCGAGTCGGCGAATTGTCAGTCTGAGGTAAAAGGATATGACATTCCTTTCTGTGTAATAGGTTCGCTTATGTTACCCCCAAGACATTCATAGAGGCCATGAAGCTCTACAAATCCATGCTTCTGAAACGCATATCATCTATAGAAGAGCATAGCGAACGCCTAAGCAGCGGCTTGTCAAAGTTATTAGATACTCAGGAAAAGGTGTCAGCACTGGAAGATGACTTACGAGAGAAAACAGTTACAGTGGAGGAAAAAAAGGCAGCGGCTGAAGAATTCGCGCAGAAGGTGGGAGAAGAAAAGGCGAAAGTCACTGCAGAGTCCGAAAATGCGAATATCGAGGCCCTTAAGTGCGCGGAAATCCAGAAATCAGTTTCTGAGCAACGAGTAAGCTAGCTCTTTGGCAGAAAAATACAGTACTACACGGTCGCGTGGTAAGGCACATTCTTCCTGAAGCTCAAGACTTTGACATGGGAAACACTAGAACTCGAATAACATTTCAAGCGCACATAAAGAACTTGCATGAGGAAGTACGGCTCGTTGAAACACAAATGCATGAACACTGGACGAGAAAGTAGATGAACGTTGATATTGTGTAACAGAAAGCTACCGCGCTGGCTTACTTGTTTGTCGCACTTTAGGCATCCTGTGAGGCGGACCTAGAAAAAGCAATTCCACTAGTACAACAGGCAGAAGCCGCTCTGAATACGCTTAACAAAAAGGACTTCCAGGAAGCAAAGGCGCTTAACAAACCTCCTGCAGGGGTTGAAGATATTACTGCTGCTGTCATGCATCTACTTGCAACAGTTGATCCAATTATTGACGTAAGAAAGCTTGAACAGAAGCTCTAACGGAGATTTGCACCCAGCTGAGTGGTACTGCGATGCCACACTTTTATGAGGGTGCATGAAAACATGTGGTGATTTTCCTCTTTACTTTTTGTCGTCTTCAGCGAAGTAGCTTTCCTTCGGTCCTTGGCTTTTCATTCATTTGAGGCATTGGTACGTTTTGTGCACTATTCATATGCCCATTGTGGAGTAGTTTGGTTGCTCGTATCTTTAATTGTAGGTCGACAAGCAGGGAAAGCTGAAAGATAAAAGCTGGAAGGGGGCGCAAAAGATGATGAACAACCCTGAGAAATTTCTGCAGACACTGAAGGACTTTAAGGGGGTCATCGATGAAGGCCGCGTACCCGAACAAAACTTTAAAGCCGTGGAACCGCTACTAGCGCTGCCGCACTTTAATCGCGAGGCTATCCAGAAGAAGAGCACAGCAGCAGCAGGTCTTGCAGAGTGGGTTGTCAACATATATCAGTATTACACTGTAGTGGTCTCTGTAGAGCCCAAAAGAAGGGCGTTGGCAGAAGCTACGCAGCAGCTGGAAGACGCAAATAAGAAGCTTGTCGAGGTACAGAATTTGGTTGCGGAGCTTGAGGAAAAGGTAACGCGCGGCCTGTCTAATGCAACTCGTGCGAACATTTACATCTGGAAAATAAATAGATAAAAATACCCATTTCATTTTTCCCATTGTCGACGCTTAACAACTGAGCACTACACGCGCAGCAAAGCTAAAACCTATTCCAGACCATTTGTTATCTCCTCAGCTAGGGCAGCTGGTAGCGGAGTTTGACTCTGCAATAGCAGAGAAAAATGCCGTAGAGGAAGAGGCACAAAAGTGTCAGAAGAAGTTGGATCTAGCCCAAAGGCTCATGCGCTCATTGGGATCCGAAGGAGCCAGATGGGGGCAAACGATTGATGACTTAAAAGAGCAAGTAGGTTGCCCTATCGCATCCCATATCGAGCTGAATATTAATCTCATATTAGGCTGCATCAGCCTTGCGCACTCGCTCTTATATACGCTTTTTTAAAGTTTCTAATCACTACGCACACCAGAGCTGGGGAGCGGCGGGAGCTGAGGATACAATCTAAGACTGCTTTGTGTCCCTGCTCAGCGACGAGTCACTGTTGGAGACATGCTGCTGTCTTCATCCTTCGTGGCGTATGCTGGAGTTTTTAGCAAAAAATATCGGGATTGGCTGACATATGAAAAAGCCATGCCTTTCATACTTGACCGAGGAGTGCCTTTACGACAGCCTGCAGCTGTACTTGCCCAGCTCACAAATGAAGCTGAAATGGCACTGTAAGTGAAGCGCCAACGTAGCACGCTTCAACATTTAATATTCACTCAGGTAGCTCATCGGGCAAATGGTCCTAGGTCCTACGTCGTACTCCTGAATGATGAAAATCATGCGCCATCCACCTACGTTGATTGAAGCCTATCATATGTGATTCTGCCCTTAGGTGGAGCAATCAAGGTCTTCCATCAGATCCGGCGTCTTTAGAAAACGGCGCAATCGCCTCTACCACAGAGCGGTGGCCTCTCATGATAGATCCGCAAATGCAAGGAAGGAAATGGGTCGTAGAAAAAGAAAAGGGGAATAGTCTTCAGGCAAGCAATTTTGCACTGGTACCTCGTCATAGTGGCACTTAGAAGTTTAGTTCCTGTCACCAGCCTTGTGCGGCCAGCCAGCAACCCTGTAACAGCCACTTACAACGCCTAGAAACACCAACAGCCTAACGTTTCATTTGGGAGGTGGCCACGGTGCTGAGCCTGAGAAAATTCTCGGTTTCTTCATTTTACAAGCACAGCGAAAACAGTGACTTCAAGAGCGAACCAAGGTGTCAAAAACAACTGCAGGTGATGCGCCTCAACACTCCCCGGATGGTATCCATCATGGAGATGGCTATTCAGCAGGGAACTAGCGTACTAATCGAAAATTTGGAACAGTCCATCGACCCCGTCCTGGCGCCTGTTGTCGGACGGCTAACCATCCGGAGGGGCCGGTCGCAATATCTCAAACTTGGGGACAAGGAAGTGCCTTACAATACAAACTTCAGGCTATTCCTGCAAACACGATTATCTAATCCACATTATCCTCCCGAACTTCATGCTGAATGCACCCTCATAAACTTCACCGTCACAGAAAAGGTAAAGCATTTCCAGAAGCTCTTGCTCCTCAGTGGACGGTCCCACAGAAAGACGCATCAAGTTATTTTTTCATCGTAGTATGGGAACCCAATGTGCATTCAGCTCGACATTGTTGTCTTGTGTAACTATGCGTGCGCTCTTGCAATGACGAAGGGCCTGGAAGATCAGTTACTCGATTTGACGATGCAGAAAGAACAACCTAGGCTCTTTAAACGAAGAATTCATCTTGTTCAGCAGCAAAATGAGTTTACCATTCTTCTTGCCGATCTTGAAAACACGCTCTTGCGGGAAATATCCTCTGCCGAAGTAGGGCAACAACGCGCTCATGGCCAGTATTCTGAACACTAGACGTCCTTTGTTGAATGGCGTAAAACCATACAACAGTTATGAAATTGACAGCTTTGCAATTACCTCAATAGATGCTAAACCTCTTTGCCTTAAAAGTGCAGCTACCTGTGCAAAGAAAGCTAGGGAAACACGCGGAATAAGCTGTACTTGATTCATTTCAGGGCGATGTGCTGGAAAATATCGAGCTGATCCAAAACCTCGAAAAGACAAAGCAGATCACCACAGAAGTTTCGGAGAAGGTTGCCCTTGCGAAAGTAACTCAAGAGAAGCTTAATGCTGTATCGGAAATGTACAGACCGGTAGCCCGTCGGG